AGCAAGAATGGCCAGACTTTGTCTCACCTATTTTGGTCATGTTGTAAGGAGGGACCATTCCCTGGAGAAGGATGTCATGCTTGGTAGGGTGGAGTGTCGACGAAAGATGGGAAGGCCTTAAACAAGATGGATTGTTATGGTGGCTGCAATGATGAGCTCAAGTATAGCAGAGATTGTGGGGCTGGTGCGGGATAGGGCAGTGTTTTGTTCTGCTGTGCATGGGGTCGCTATGAGTCGGAAACGACCTGACGGCACTTAACAACAACAACAACAACAAAATGTCTGCTTGCTATATTGCAGATGTGTCTCAGAATGAACAACTTGCCTTTCAGGAGGGTGTTGTGAATGTAAAGGAAGTAAAAAACAGTCTTTTATGGAAATCATTATTTTTCCTAATATTTTCATTTTTTTTTTTACTTAATAAAAATGACACCTTATATTATTATCTCATAGTTTCAGTTGTTTTGACTATATCCAGAAATAAAGTTTAATTTACTCACTTTGGCCACAGGGACTTTTAAAAGCAGTAAAATCACATTGTGCAGTTGTATCTAGGAAAGTGGGGTAATGTCCAATTTCAAGCAAAAATGCTCATAATGTGATAGAAAGAAAAAACAAAACATGATGTACAATGCCAAATATAAGTTATTGTCCTAGAGTTATAATTTTTTTTCCTTTCTCTTTACCTCTTTCTCTCATTATTTCTGGGGCTTCAAAATAGGGGGATTATTTTAATTTCTGAATTTTGGACTTTTTTTTTTCAGTGAGGATGTATTATTTAATAAATGGAAAAAAATTAAGCAAAGAACTGATCATTTCGCTTAGGGTACAACTGTATGGGATGACATGGACACTCGAGAGTTCCTCAGCAAGATAAGCTCCAATTATCCAGTGGAAACTCTTTCCAGAGCAAAACTTTATCAATTGCCTTCTCTTCCCTGTCTCACTTCTCCATTACATACTGGTATTGCCTAGAATCACTTCCCAGATAAACTCAGTAGTTTAGGTATGCACATCTGTATCTCATGGTCAGCTTCTGAAAGAAGCCAACCTAGGACAAAATCCAACCCGATGAAGGTGTTTAAAACAACAACAACAACAAGTAGTGCTACCAATATAATCATCTGGTTTCCATCTTGTTTAATATTGGACTGTAAAATCATAAAGTTCATTGGTACTTGATGGGCAAAGGAAAGGATATGGAACTCTTGATTGTACTCTATCAGAAGTTTATGAAATGTTTTCCTTTTTAGAAGATAATAAACATGAAGAGACTAGGAACCCTCCATTATTCATAGTAGTACTTATAATTATGGCTGACCAAATAGGAAATGATAGCAGATTGTGAAAATTTCCCTATCTAATCCTCTTCCATATTCTTAAAGCCTAGTTATTCCTAGGGAGATGGCAGCCTCTTACTGGAATTTTGTTTCTGGTGTATATATATTCCTGCTCAAGTCTTCCTCCTAGAGCACTGCTACAAATTATATCTGGTAGGCTTTAAGTCTTAATATTACACTGCTCCTACTTTTAATCTGTTGTCTCTCATTCCATTTTCACCTTTGCAAAGCCAATCCTACCTCCTCCATGATAAGTTAAATCCATTTTCCCCACCATTGAGTCATAGCATTTTATTCTTGAAACTTCATTTCAGTTCCCTGTCCCTGAGTCACCTTCCTCTGATTAAAATTCAACTCAGAGGGCATGGTTTCCTTGCAAACAACTAACTTGCTGTGGGGCAGCCATGATTTGTATCAGCAGCCAAGCTGGCTACCCAATTCCAAATATGTTGTTTGGTGCTGTCAAGTCAATTCCAACTCATTGCAACTCTATTTTTAATTACTTTTCTGTGGACTCTGTATGAAACAAACTTCCTTTAATAACTGACAAAAAATATTTCCATCTGCCAGCTGTAATAGCTGATATAGTCAAAAAGGACAGGGACTCTGCTGTACTTGTTTGGAATAACATGTTGCATTAAGTATGCCCAAATAGGAAATAAAAACAAATGAATTTGCAAGGTAGGAGAACTCGTATAAACATGCTATGTAATTTCAAAAACAGGGCACAGCAAGTGCCCTTAAAGATAGTAGTTTTCACTTTAGTGTACATAAGAACAAGCTGAGGAAGAAGTTCAGATCACAGATTCCATCTGACTCCCCTGATTCAGGATTTGTCAAGTCAATGGGGGGGGGGTCTAGAGAACTACAGTTTTAGCACACACCCAAGGCTTTTTTGATGCTGGTGGTCTGTAGGACTGCATTTTGCATTTTTTTTTTTTTTCAAACACTGATTAGGCATTACTTTGGCATTAAAGTGTGTGTGTGTGCGTGCGTGTAATCTGTGATATACCCACACAAATAGAGAGAGAGTACATCTGGTAATTGAAAAGAGATTAAAATAAAGCACACTGATTTCAGCACAGCAAAACCTACAGTTTCTTAACGTTTTCCACAACTGACAAAGCAAAGAGCCAATAGAGGTAGTAAAAACCAATATAGCACAAGTGGTGACTCACACTTCCCTTCTTCATTCCTGCAGAGCACTTTGCAATCATCTGTGTTTTGTATCACTTCCAGAGACTCGCCAGGCTTCACCTGTAGATCTCTGGTCCCCCACTTTTTAGAAGTGAAGGAGGGAGCAACTTTGATTGAATACAGGACTCTAATTTCACCATCATACTTCAAAAAACAAAACAAAACAGAAAAACATTTAAATTATTAGCTGATATATTCTATTACAATATTTCATTTACTGGCAGATTTATTAAAAAAGCTTTTCACTAAATAAATAGCTCATTGTTTTCAATAGATAATGGAAGAACATTAAAACGTTTTGAAGAGGGGGAGTAATTTATAACCTCCCAGCCTGATATAAGAACTACGGTTAGATTACCTTTGAATCAAGGCTCAAAGGACAGCTATTTTCAGATGATGGTTATCAGGGTACATATATTGACATGTACATCTGCTTAATTTTCTATAATTTAAATCTAAAACAAATTTTGTAGAAAATGAACACATTATGATGGAAAAAATTGTGATATTGACAATTACACTTTTAAGCGTACATTTTGGTAATTAAAAATTATTGGATGAAGGAATCATTAGTGTTTTGAAATTTTAGATCTGACATACTTTAAATTTTTTCCGGAAGTCTTTTTCTTCTTTTTCTTGTTTTTTCAGCTTCTTAGGGTCTTTTTCTTCTGTCTTAGCCTTTCCAGTACTGATTCCTTGACTAGGATGGTAAAACACACATATGGCAATGAACATTTTGCTTCAAAAATATAAAAAGAATAGTGGCTAATAGAGATTTAATTCATAACATTAAAATTCTGATACATTTTTTTTTTTTTTTTTTAGAAATCCAGTATCATTCAGTGTAACAAATGATGGCATTTTAAAATATAGAAGGGATCCTTGAGAACACAGATTATAAATTAAGATGGAAGTAAGAGGTTGCCTGTTATGTTGAGCCATATAGAATCTCTGATTTGTATCTTAAAACATGGCTGCTGCATCAACAGTTTTATAGGCTTCAATCTATTCTGCAAGTGCCTATCTATCTTTTTCAAACCCTTAATAGATAATCAGGACCTCTGGTAGTATAGTGCCTAAGGTACTTGACTGCTAACCAGAAGGCTGGTGGTTCAAACCCACCAGCCACTTCTCAGAAGGAAGGTTGGGCAATCTATTTCTGCAGTTATACTGCCTCGGAAACTCAAGGAGGGTCGCTGTGAGTCGTGGCCGACTCCACATCACATGACAACAACAACACAATAGATAATTAAGTGACCTGATCAATGTCATAGGGAAAGCTTTATAAAAAAGAACACTTAATTAAAAAAATGTATTTTTATAAAGTTTATATGCTCATTTTCCATATATATATATATATATATATATATATATATGAGCTCTGGTAGCATAGTGGCTAAGACACTTGCCTGCTAACCAGACGGCTGGCGGTTCAAACCCACCAGCCACTCCTCGGAAGGAAGGTTGGGCAATCCTACTTCCGTAGTGATACTGCCTCGGAAACCCAAGGAGGGGTCGCTATGAGTCGGGTTTGACTCGACGGCACATAACAACAACAACAACAATATATATATATATATAAAATGGAATCAGAGTAGGAGGCAGGAAATTTTGGTTAATGAAAGATTTTGGTAAAAGTTAACATTTTAGATATAAAGAAGAACCATCTTAAGGAAGATGGCTAATATACAATCTTAATCACTTTAGCAATTGTTCATTTTGTGTGTGTGAGAGAGAGAAAGAGAGAGAGAGAGAAACACATTCTAAGTGTTTTGCTCAATTAATGGATTTAATAGTAAATAAAGGAGCTCTGGTAGTGTAGTGCCTAAGGCACTTAACTGCTAACCAGAAGGCTGGGCAATCTACTTCTGTAGTGATACTGCCTCAGAAATCCAAGGAGGGGTCGCTATGAGTTGGATTCGACTGGATGAATTTATAGTAGTTAAACAAAAACATAATCACCTAGGCATAGAAATTCATTAGATCTTGTAAATACCAACAGGACTAAAGTCAACTCCTTTAAGTGAGGTGAATAAGCTTAGGACAATGATTCTCCAGTCTGTGGCTGCCCATCGAATCATCTGGGAGCTTTTAAAAAATACCAATGCCTTTGGCCAATTCCTAGATATTCCAATTTAATTAGTCTAAGTGGATTCCAGGCGCGCTCTCTCTCTCTCTCTCTCTCTTTCTCTTTCTCTTACACACACACACACACACACACACACAAGCTCCCCAGGTGATACTAATTTGCACTGGAATTGAGAACCATCTGCTGTGGTGAAATATGGATGTCAGGAAAGGCCCATAAATCTCTGCCAAAGGGAATTTGAAAAATCAGAATTATTTATAAATAATGTACAATTTTAAGAGGTACTAATTTTTATTTTGATTGTCTAGGATAAAGTTTTGCTTGTAATGGTTTCGTTAGAATGTTTGATCCTTAGTGTCTGAATGTTGGAATTTTACTCATTCACTATGAAATGAATAGCACAATATCCTGCCTTAGAGTCTGTATCCACTGCCAGAGTCTCCTGCCTTATGATACTCTGGGCATTCACGGAATTACTGGCTCAGATTACCTCTCTGGAGCTACTCAGAAAACATATGAATGTTTAGAATGCTCACAAGCTATCTCTGAAAATAATTTATAGAAATTTATTTAAAACTAGATATTATGCTAGAGAACATAAAATTGTTTTAAATTCTGACATAGCAACATGTAAAAAGTAGTGGAGTCTCTGAGTGGCACAAGCAGCTATGCTGCTAACTGAAAGGTTGGTGGTTTGAGTTCACTGAGAGTTACCTGGGAGGAAAGGCCTGGTAATCGTGTTTTTGGTTTTAAGAAACCAACACACATCATATAAAGTTTGATCAGCTGAGATTTATTTTGTGTGAAGAAAAGGCCAATGTGTGATTCTGGGTCTCCAGAAGGTTGTATTATAGAAAGTAGTGGCATTTCTAAAGTCATAGGAAATGGAGAAATGCATTGAAACTGTCAAAGATAGAACTTTAAGAAGTGACTTCTTGATGGTGAGAAATATTGAAATGTGAACACATTACTGGAGAACATTAGACTTCTCTTTCACAGAGAATTGAAAAAGAGAATAATTATTCTCATTTCTCTTTTTGGTTCGCCTGTAGAACTTGGTCTTCATGGATGAATGGCAGGTATTTTCCATTTGGATTCATTGATCTTGACACTATTTCCAGTTCAGTAAGATTAGCTTAACTATGGTGGTCAAAAATAAACTCTTCCAGTTCACTCGTGCATTTTTACCAGCACAGCTCAGAAGACACCACTTACTGTGCTTCCTTTATGTTCCTTTCATCCTTTAACTAATCAAGTGCAGATCTCTTTATTCATCTTTCTTTTTTCTTTAAGAAGTTCTAGGTGTTCCTGCTTTTATACAAAGTGTATATCAGGTCATTTTTTTGTAGTTATTGGAGTGTAAGGAAGCATCTCACTATGAAATGTTCTATTTCAAAGGAATTTTCAAAAAGTATTTCTTTTGTATAAACTTACCTTAACAGATTTTCATACAATTTCAGCCTAAAATGAAATTGAAACCTTAAGTGTGCTGAAGAATGTCACTATTCACTGTGGATTGAATTTTAAAAGTTTGAATGGAATCTTTGAGAATCTGATGCTTTTATGTAAAGGGAACATACTGTAAAGTCCTCCTAAATACAAAACCTCTTTGCTCCATACAGAAAACAATCATCTTGCTGAGGATAGAGGAGGCCTGAACAGGGCAGGTGGGGGATGAGATGCAAACTAAGAAGTGTATCCAAGACAAAAAAGGTTTTGAAAAAGCATAAAAATAAAAGAAACAGATGAATCAGTAGCAGGCAGTATTTTTTATTGAGTGAGTAAATTAATAAATGAGTACAGATATCAGTGACTCACAGGGCAGAGTCGAATCAAGGGGAAAGGGATGACAGAGGGAGTGAGAGAAAGAGAAGACTCAAGAGGCAGGATCAGTGTTCTCCTCTGAAAATCCAACACAGCTGCACAGAGAACAGAAAGCAGAGGACAGAGTGTACGTGATAATGGAGTGTACGTGATAACACACAGTAGACTTGCACTCACTTGGGTGTTTATTCCACTGAAATTTCTTGACTAGTCTCATTTTCATTACTTCATTTTAATGAAAATATTCTCATTACCTTGTCTCTGCTGGTGGAGCAGGGAAATCAGAGGCATCCACATCGTCATAAACTTCCTCTCCCATGTCTAACAAATGACAAAATAGCAAATGTGGAAGCAAATTACTTTGGATTTTGATATGAGCGTTTAGTAATGCTTTCAATATTAAGATTGCTTAAAGAACAACCCAGGTTTCCCTGGTGTCTGGGTACATTTCTCCTAGATGTGTTGTCTATGCCTTAAAGAAGAAAGATGCCCATATCTCCCTGGATGTGTGTGTTAAATTTCCCTCAAAAAACCAGTGACCATGATTACAACTATGAGTATCTGAAAACAAAAATATAAACAAAAGAGTGGCTGTGGGTATGTGAAGTTCTCCAGGTGAGATGAATTGCCAGAGTAGCAAATTGCTGACAACCAAAACAACATTCAACAACATTACTAGCAATGGGCAGAGGAGGTGATGTCAAGATTCTTATGGGATTCAGGGTATGTGGAAATCTCTTTTGCTCCATCATTCCAGAGGCAAAAGGGGCTGTTGGTAGGGGGCACCCTGCGCTCCAATCTTTTTGTAGGCAAGGCAAGCCCCAACAGCAGAGCAGAAGGCTCAGGAGCTGTGCAGGGTCCCTGCAGAGTGTGCTGGTAGGTGCAGGCAGTGGTGATGGGAATACAGCATATGACCTGAACCATGGAGTGTGTGCCCGGTGACATAAGAACAGATTAGAGCAATTTGGGGAAGAGTAAGCGGTTCTGCTTTTGAGAATCAGTTGTTTCTGTTTACTGTTTGCTTTCTATAAATAATAACAATGGCTTTCATTTTGCCACACTGTGTAAGCATCTAGAGTATCTGTTCATTCACAGGTCAATACAGCACCCATACAACAGTGATTCCAGGGAATGTATGTGTCCCATTCCTTGCAGTATTACTATTATGGTTGCCTGGAAGTTTTAGACACAGTCTATTTGCATGTGCAATGCAAATAGACAGACTTGTACATATAAAAACAAATACTTAAAGGTATATAGTGTATCCTTGGTGTCTGAAAGGATAAAAGTTACTATTCCATGCACATGCACTTAAAACATATTTGAGAACAAAACACAATTTAAACAAAAAACACATTTTTAAACTTAATCGATTATATTTGTTCCATTTTATATCAACTCTTTGTGGAGCTAAGTTTCTTTTTCTTTTTTTAATTTGTATTGTGATTTGGGTGAAAGTTTACATATCAAATTCACTTTCCATATAGCAGCTCAATACACTTTGTCTCACGACATAGACTGGAATTTCCCACAATGCAAAATCTCCCTACCCATTTCCTCCCCATAGTTACCTCTACCCTGTGTCCTTCCCTCCCATGTACTCCTGCCCCCTGAGCTGTCTTCTTGTGCATACACAGCCCTTCTATTCTCTTGTGATTGTTATTTCCAAGGAGTGTATCTACCTATGGTAAATATTGAGCTGATATGGTTGTCTTTTGTTTGGCAGGAAGCCACAGGAGTGGACTCAATTCCAAACCTGAAGGGCAATTAGGGGCCACAGTCTCAGTGGTTCCATCAGGCTCTATCAGACCAGCAAATCTGGTCCTTTTTTTTTTTTTGAATTACATTTAGCAGTGGATTATTTATAAAATATAAATTATACATTTAAAAAGTTAAAGACATTTAGATTCATAGGGGCCTTGGTGACATACAATATTGTGTGTTTTCAGAAATACTGAAGTCTACTATATCAAGCATGTAAAGGTGGAAGTGTCTGAAAAAAAAAAAAAAGCAGAAGTGTCTGACTGAAGAAAGGTGGGGAGATCTGAGGGATGGGGTATTCACGGGGTAATCATCCCCAACTTATCACTATCTCCACAGTGGACCTTGCAACTCCTTGGAAGAACAGTTTAAAAACCATCAATCTTTTTACTTCCCTTTTCCCTCTATTTTATTGTTGAGAACGGTGGCTGCTCAAGGTGAAGGGACTTGCCCATACTTACATAATTATTATTTTCATTATCAGGGCTATAATCCTGATGGTATGACTAAATCCAATGCTTTTCCACTACCCAATCTCAAAGACATATGGTATAAAATATGCCATTAGTTTTCACTACTTACCTATTTGTTCAGGGGGAGAAGGAAAACTGAAACAAAAGTAAGAATATAGTTATAATCTGACTATATGAGCACAGACATTGAGTCTTTTATTTAGAAGATACATGAACAGGTAACAGCCTGGAGGCTTGTGAAGGTTCATCTGTTGACCATCATTCCTTTCCCATTCTCTATTTCTCCTGAAGTCCTCATCTGTGTCCATAAATCTGGAATTTAGCAAGACCTTTTTTTGAACTCCAATGTTGACCAAAAAAAAATCTAGAGTCAAGATATTTAATTGGCTTATTTTCCCAATCGCCATTGGACAGGTATTTTCAGGTTTATTCTGTGAGTTTTGGGCATATTATCATACTAGACAAAATAAAATGGACCCAGCATTTTGGAGCCATTGTGGCATAGTGCTGGCCCCAAAGTGTTTACTTAAAGACTAGAAATGCAGAGTCAAGAGTAACCAAGGTCATAGAATATTTCCATGACCATGTTTCCTTTATACATTGCCAGACCCAGGAGAATGATGAATGAGAGGAACATCCACTTAAACCAGACAGTGAGACCTTATTAATAGAAGTGGTCTGAAATCAAGAGTGGCTGGCATTTAGTTGCGACAGAAAAAGACCTCGTCTTTCATTATTTTCTAAGTTACAGCTCATAAATACACACACATACACACACACACATCACTAGAAGAAAGGTGCACAGGACAGGAACAGACAGTTAGAGTGTGACAGATGATTAATTCAAATGATCCCAAATCAGAATTAGATGATATGTAATTGGAGGAATAAAAATAACCTCTGGTTTTATTTCTGTCAGAGTAAAGATTGTATTTGAGTGGTGTTACGTAAAGTGAGTATTTCTTGTTTTCTTAGAATTTCAAGTGCATTGTTTATTGAGTGTTGTTCTGGTGTTTCACAAAAGGTTTACAATTAGGAATGGTATATGGAATTAACATCTTATATATAAAGACTTCAGTTAAATATGGTAAAACAGTAAGAATTTCTAGTACCAGGGAGCTGGAAGTTATATAGATTAAAGGATTATTTTGAGGATAGAAAGAGAAAATTCACGCTTCTGCTTTTATTTAAGCAAACAAGATACTTCAAATAAATTTAGATTAGGAGAAATATATAATTCAAATAGAAGTAATATGATTGTGAAAGAAAGACTTTAAATACTATATTTGGAGAAGAGACATTTCTATCAACTTAACGTTTAAAAAAGAATGTGTATTTTGAAGCATAGGCAATAAAAATACATAATAAAATGTGGCATTGAAATTGAAAACTTTTAGATGCAATGCTACAGTTTTTAAAAAAATTATATGAAATTGAGTATGAGTGCTTATATATGAATGTGTGATTGTGAATGAGTGTCTAGAAGTGTATTAGTGAGTGAGGGGTATGTGTGCCTCTATATGGCTTCATGTGTTTGTGTGTGTGTTTATGGGGAAAGTAAAACATATTTTTGAATTATATGACTCATCAATACTTTGAGCTCTCTTTACGTGAATGCATTAGTTTAAGGATATAGCGTGGATGAGGCTAAGATGATTAATGGAGAACAACATCGAAGTGTTTTAAGCCTAACATGATTTGGTTATTGCTTATATAATATTAGTAGCATTTGATTAAGTGAACATTAGTGTAGTTATTGTGCACTGGATTTGGTTGGCTGACTCTTACAGTGAACCTTCATTATTGTCTGAATCAGAGACTTTTGATTTCTCTCGTATACTTTTCTTTTTGTCATCTTTTCCCTTTAACATCTTCAAAATCCCCCAGGACCACGAGTTACTCTTCTCTTCATCCTGTAGTGTGGAGCTTTGGAGCATGCAGGCATTGATTAGAATGCAATAATCAGTGCAATGTGAAGACATTGGGCTTGATATTTCAGATGGTTTATAATTATACTGAATGGCCATTCAGGTACTAAACAACTCATGGCACCCAACAAGATGGTTCTACTAAATTTATAGATGATAGTGTTTGAATACTGGGTTGGTCATTTTTGTATTTAGTGTAATTTCTCTTGGTTCTTAAGATATGAAGATAAGTCCATCAGGGGCTAGTTTTAAATACTAATTTTGCTTTGTTTTATGATTAAAAGTAAGCAATTAATTGATCTTAAATTTTCAAATGTGCCATTTCAAAAGTTTAAATCACCTGAAGAAGGAAGTATTCAATACTGGGTCTACCACAGAGAACACATGATCTCAATTCATCTGTTGTTATGTGCTGTCAAGTCAGACCCAACTCACAGTGATCCCTTCCTTGGGTTTCAGAGGTGGTATCACTACAGAAGTAGATTGCCCAACCTTCCTTCTGAGGAGTGGCTGGTGGGTTTGAACCCCCACCTTTCTGGTTAGCAGTCAAGTGCCTTAGACACTATGCTACCAGAGCTCCCCAATTTATCTGGGTGGCTTATAATTAGGATTATCATGTAAAAGATAGCTATGCAACTAATAAACTCTCTAAAGATTTTTTTTTTAAAGTTGATAAATAAATGATTAGAAAAAAACACCTGTAATTCTTTATCCTTTTTTATTTCACTTCTTTTGACAGTTGTTGAGATTGTTCTAAACAATACACCCCTCTGTTTGAAGTGTGGTATAATTATACTTCCTGATTTACTATTGTTGTTGGTCAAACATTCAAATCATTTCTGGCCATGTAATAAAGAATGCTATGTTCTGCACTATATCCTCAGTTTCAGTGTACACAATAATATACAAAAAGGCAATTCACTGATTATACTTACCCATCATTAGCTTCTTCTTCTTCAATGCCATCATAAATATCATCTGGTGGAGCTGGGAACATCCCTTTGTTTGGATTATGGGGGGAAATCTTTTGTTAATTTTATAATTCAGTCATACAACACTCACCCAGATTTTGATAATACATATGCCTTTTTTAATTGCAAAAAGTACATTTCTTTTATACTGAAAAAAAATGAAAATAATTTTATTTTCCTACTCTTACACAGAGTAGATAATTAACTGCTCTATTGATCCTTGTATAGAGAATTCTTAGAGCTGATATGATGATAAAAGAATGAAGGATGATAAGGACTGTGAACCTAAGCTGAAAGGAATGGGGGGTAAGTACATGACAAAGTACATTGAATAGGGGATAGGGTTAAGTATTTATTGTGAAAAAAGGAGAAGAATTTAGGAGACAATAAGAAACAGTTAAAAGTGAGGAGACATCCAGAAATACTGATCAACACACATGTGAAGAAAAGCAAACTGAATGAAAGGTAAATCTGAAGGCTAAACACTGATGGCAGCTGACAAAATGAAAGAGGACCTTTGCAACACATATTTTCAAAGCTAAACCCTTTCTTGCTTTGATTGTTATCTTACCCACCTTTGATATTTGACATGCACATATTTAACAAATATGCATTTAACAAATGTTTATTGAGTACCTTCTATCTGTAAGAGTATATATAAAGAAATTGAAATCACTTAGCATGAGAATTTTAGTGTGGCACAATACTATTTCAGTTCCCTTGTTTTGTTAATGAGCAAACTAAGCCCCTTTAGGAGCCACAGGCATGATGACTAAATGTTATCATCCAAACAAGAATGATTCTGAAAATGAAGGGGGATTCTGCTAACAGTGTGCTCAGGCAACCAGCATATGTACAAGACTGTCTGCAGCACACAGAAGTAGGGGCAGCCTGTGACTCATGACAGATTTGGAAGAAAGAAGTGACTTTGACTTTAGAAGAAAGAAGTCCCACAGTTGGGAGGACTGGAATCCAGGTCAGGGGCTCCCGGCCCAGTGTTCTTTCCAGCACATTAGGATCCTACTCATTATTTGCAACTAGTGCATTCTGTCAAACCAAAAACCAAACCCACTGCCATCAAGTCCATTTTGACTCATAATGACCCTATAGAACAGAGTAGAACAGTTCCACAGGGTTTCCAAGGCTGTAAATCTCTACAGAAGCAAACTCCCATGAGGTGGCTGGTGGGTTCAAACTGCTGACCTTTTGATTAGCAACCGAATGCTTTAACCACTACACCATGTATAAAAAGTGGGAGACATTTGGAGAAATTACTAATGAAAGTGTGTGACTTACCTCCACTTCCACTCTGACTATGGCTAGGAAAAGAAAACAAAAAAACAAACACATAAATTAACATATGAATTATTTAGTTAGAGGTACAAACTGAGTAGTTATAAAGAGAGATTTCAGGCGCACTTCCAAGACCTCACTCTTAGGAGCTGTGTTTGGGATTGGGTTCCTGCTCTTCTGGCACTATGTTTTCCAAATTGATGGGGATAGGGAAGAAAAACTTATCCAGCAAAGAGAATTGGATTGAGTATTTAACATCTCATATTAGGTCTGGCAATGATGACTATACTTATATTTGCTTAAATAAATCTTCTATTAATCATTTTAAAAAGAGAGGTAACATTGTAGTTAAAGCTACTAATGTGTTACATGCTAAAGAAGAAAATATGTTCCTTATCATTATGGATCAATGACTTGTACACATGAAGAATGTTGAAATGATAAATCATTTGTAACATGTACGTTTACCATACACACACACACACACACACAACCAAGACAACTAAAAAAACAAACACACAAAAAAAAATCCTACAGGTTCATATTTAAAAATAAGTTGTGATAATGTGATAAAGAAAAAATTGGGGGTACCATGACAGTTTATAAGGAACTCTGGTAGTGCAGTGCCTAAGGCATTTGATTGCTAACCAGGTGGTTAGTGGTTGAAACCCACTAGCTGCTCCATGGAATGAAGGTGGGGCAATCTACCTCCATAAAGATTTACCACCTTGGAAACTCAATGGTGGTTGCTATGAGTTGGAATCAACTTGATGGCAGTTGGTTTATGACAGCTGATTATAGGAAGGGCAGATTGAAATTAGAAATTGATTAAGGTTTCTCAGTGGAAGACCTGAATGATAAATTAGCCAGTTGGACAGTGGTAGGAAGAGCATTTAGGGCAGAGGGAAGAGCAAATGCTGGAATGATAGGAGCTTAGGCCAAGCAGGGGGAGAAGTGGGAGTTGAAGCTGGAGAAGTGCTTATGAGCTATCCTACAGAGTCTAACTGATTACTATAAAGAATTTAGTCTTGATGCTCATTGCAATGGTAAACCACAGAAAGCAGGAGAGTGATATGCTCAGCTTAGATCAGTGTTTCTCAAAATGTGTCCAAGGACTAGTATTGGTCAAGTATGTGCTACTGATCTGCTACAGGATAAGAACAGAAATTAGTAGGTCAGAGTAGATAAGAACAGAGTCAGTAGGTCTTGAGAAATTGAAAGCAAATGTTTAGAAACTTTTATACCAAATTGACATTGTTGTAACATCCAAGCCTGTCATCAGTGGACCTGTATCACTGAACAGGGTATAGAGCAGTTTGCGTATTGTCAAACTGATGTGCAGAGCCACATATAGGACATACTGAGTGCTTGAGAAGTACTCAACTATATGATCACAGGGTCTGCCTGGTAGAGATTAGACTGGTGGAGCATAGGAAACTGAACCCACTGTCATGGAGTTGACTCCCACTCACAGTGACTGTGTAGACAGAGTAGAACTACCCAGAGGGTGTCCAAGGCTTTATGGAAGCAGATTGCCCCATCTTTCTTCTGTGAAGCTACTGGTGGGTTTGAACCTATGACCTTTTGGTTAGTAGCTTAATGCTTTAACCTCTGCACCCCCAGAATTCCTTGGGGCAATGTAGATGTCCTCATTTTTTTTTTTTTTTTCCAGAGGGTGGTAATAGAGAAGAAATGTAGGTATATTTAAGGCAGCATCTATAGAAGTAGTTACGAATTTTTGGAGGGGTTGATGTGGGCAGGGAGGGGGAAAAAGGAATTGAGAGTGACCTGGAAGTTCTGACCTAGGGATCATTGGAGGAGATAGATCCTTTGAGGGACTAGGAAGAAAAACAAGAGTTCAATTTCATACTACTTTGTGAAGAAAAAAATTTAGGCTAATTTCTCAAATTCTGTAAATCTTATATGATGGACCAGCATGATTTTTTTTTTTTTAATTTTAACACAGGAAATTGAGTTTTCACTTTGGAAGTACAAAGTAGAATCATAGTACATCATTCTTTTTTTGTTATCTCTTCAAAGAAGAACAGCAAATACTTTCAGAATCATAGATTTTAAAGTAAAAAAGTTTATGACACTTCATGCTTCATATTTTACCACATTGTATGTATTTTAGGCATATTCCTAAGGCCAATCATATTGCAATGAGTACTATAAAACAGTGATTTGCAATGACAACAAATTCAATGAGTTCCAACAAATGATTCATTATCTTTCAAGTAACATTTGATATATACAACCTAAGAGTAAAACAAAACACAAGGGAGTTGCAAGTGACCTCTCACCCCTATTGGGGTTATCGTAAATGGTAATTTAGTTTCATGATAGCAATAAGAAACATGGAAGGTAAAATCCTGGATCTTAAAATAATCTCGGACGATCTGATCAGTTTTATGATAGTGACCCCTCTTTAGGTTTCCGAGGCGGTATCTCTATGGAAGTAGATTACCCAGTCTTCCTTCCGAGAAGTGGCTGGTGGGTTTGAACCGCCAGCCTTCTGGTTAGCAATCAATTGCCTTAGGCACTATGTCACCAGAGCTCCTTTTGTGTTTGCACATACCTGCTAATATCATCATCCTGCTCTGCAACGTCATCATACACTTCCTGGTCATAGTCAGTAGGTCTTGAGAGAGTACCGAGGGAAGTTTTTTTCCGTTTCAAGGAATCGTAGTCTATCTCCACAGCAGTTGTTTTAATATAGCCATCTACCAAAAGAGGAACCATTATGTCAAGACAAGATCAGAATTCACTCAATGGCCACATGTTTTCATTGTAGTTTAGATCTTGTAAAGTTGGGAATAAAATATTATTTCCACATTTGCTCTTTAAAAGTTTCCTTTGTCTGCTTGCAAGTCTGATTTATAGATCTTCCATGAACACACGTTTTACTGTATTATTCAAAGTCTTGTTTTGCTGTGAGTTTAAGCCTAAAGTCTTTATTACAAAGATTCCAAAGTGATTCACATGAATTGTTATTTTTTTTTCCTTTTAATATCAGTAAGAAAGCCTAATGCCTTTTGTTATTCCTTAGAACAATATAAAAATTGGCATTGTTCCCACTAAAAAGATAATACAGATGTGGTGAAGATGGAATTGTATTTTTCATATTAAATTTTCCTGTAACCTATTCCTAACCCGAGGACTCTGACCACTGCTGGGACAATTTGCACATTTGATACTGGCTCAAAAATAAAACACTTTGAAGTCATAGGGAGATTGACACTCACATGATCCTCTTGCTGTTCTGCCCAGCCATTTTCCTTCAGGATTGTCTGTGATGCGGATTATTTCAATTTGCTCTCCTTGCTTGAAGCTCAGTTCATTCTTTCCTCCTTTGACATCACAGCAAGCCTTTGCTTGATGGATGACTTGAATCGGGCCTGTTAGCTGCAGATTAAGAAAATCATCACAACAGGCCCCCTAACTATTTAGAAACTCCTTAAGGAATGCAGTTTTGAAAAACAACTTGTCTACAACTTGCCAACATGCCTGTTTGCAACACTTTCAGATTTGAACCAGGAACTGAGGGTGGATAGCATATATGCTGGATGTTCTGGTATAGGAGGGAAAGGAATCAGAGGCCAAGCAGGACCAGCCAAGATCCTAAAGAACGTGCTTGGGGTCTAGGAGAGAGCAGAAGTGATCTGTTGACCTTACAAACCATGAGAAGGGCCTGCAAAGGCTCCCACTAATAACTGCATATTACTTGTGTACAATAATCCATAGGTTCCAGTGGTACACTGGTTAAATGCTGGACTGCTAACTAAAAGACTGGTAGTTTGAGCCTAGCAGTCCCTGCTTTACTGGAGCTCTGCTCCCATGATGATGACAATCTTGAGAACCCTACGGGGCATTTCTGCTCTGTAACACATGGAGTCATCATGAGTCAAAATTGAGTTGAAGCGCCTAACAACAACACTGATAATCCATGCAGGTGCACTGTGTTTTTACGGGGCATGCTGGTTGGATTTGCAGATGATGGACAATGCTTTATTTTTCTCTTTAGCATTATGTAGTAATTCTGTTGGTTCTCTGCAGGCCTAAAACAGCAAAGGGAAGGGTGAGTTATGATAGTGGGTTGTACTTGTGGGAAAATAATTTTCTTCTTTGTAACCTTGTATTTCACTGCTAACCAGAAAGCTGGCAGTTCGAACCCACTAGCCACTCCTTGGAAAGAAGATGGGGAAATTTCCTTCTGTAGAGATACCACCTCAGAAACCTAAGGAGGGGTTGCTATGAGTTGAGTTGACTTGCTGGCTGTGAGTTTGGTTTTGTTTTGTTACCTATCTATGGTTCAAGCATAGTGAGGACTGTGAAGATGGTGCTGGACCAGACAGTGTTTCATTCTGTTGTACACAGGGTCGCTATGAGTTAGAGCTAGCTCAAAAGCACCTAACAGTAATAACAACCTATCCGTAAACTTGGAGTAGACATCCTTTGCTAAACAAATGATAGCATTTTGTGAAATAACTTTGTATGGCAGAAGAGCAAACATTATATGTATGATTTTCTTAAAATTAGTATGTTGTTGTTGTTGTTGTTATGTGCCGTCGAGTTGGCCCCGACTCATAGCGACCCCTCCTTGGGTTTCCAAGGCAATATCACTACAGAAGTAGATTGCCCCACCTTCCTTTGTGAGGAGTTTCTGGTAGGTTTGAACCACCAACCTTCTGGTTAGCAGTCAAATGCCTTAGGTGCTCTGCCACCAGAGCTCCTTGTACCACTAAGAAAGAAAAAAAGTGAATTAAATTATAATATGCTAATGATGTATTCAACATCAACAACAACAACAATGATGTGTTCTAATAGCAGAATTATTAAAATGTGATATAATATATGTCTTAGAACCAAGAAATATGGCAACCACTCTGACATTTATGTAAGCTTTTACGCTGAAATCTATTAACATCTTGTGGAAAGAATACACATTGGGAAGTGCTAGTCTTGACAGACTTTTCAGTTCATAGTTAGTGGCATGATTTCCATACAGTAGTTCTTATTTACTTACATACACACACACATATGGAGTGAAATAGTGCAAAACTGGTTTCACCAAAAGAGACAAAAAGAAAAGCCTCATGTAATTCCTTTAAAAGTAAAAGCAATCTCTTAACGAAAAGTGGGTTATAAATATTTTCATGTAAGGACTTAATTTTTCATGTTTTCCACTTGAAAAATATAAATGCTGGTAGCCAGGCATTTTGTACAAGTAAAATAAATTTTAATAGTATTGTGATTATAATTTTACCTATACCTAGTAAACTTTTTCAAAATTTAATGAGAACCTTTAATACACTGTGCTTTATGTGCTTTATTTTAATTTAATCCCACAACTACCTTTCAGGAGATGTATTATTTATTCTTTTACAGAATAAGAAATTGAGGTTCAGAGAAGTTAAACAGTATGGACAAGATCACATAGCTTGGATATGCAGCTGAAATTTGAATTCAGATCTTCCAATTTAGTCAAAGCTTTATATTTTCCTTCAATCATGCTATTGAACCTTTGTTTTAATACAATAAATGTACTGGGACATTGCATATAAATCACAGTTTAATAATATAAACCATATATTAAATGCTGTAGAGAAATGAAATATTTAAAGCAATCCTGATGTGAATCCTTTCTACAGTGAAGAATAGTTTTGTAAATGAGAGAATCACTATAAATCTGACACACTAGAACCATACCAGATAGATGGTGTCATCAATGACAGTGTAGTCAGGAGATACTAAGACATGAGAGTACAGTGTTAATAGTGATAGTAATAGAGGTCACCCAATTATCAGAGATCAGAGAAGACAGAAGTCAAAACAGATGAGAGGGAATAAGAAACAGCAAGTATCAGAAGTCAGCATGTACCTAATAAAGGCAAAAATGTAAGTCAGGTCTAGACATCAGGAATCAGAGTAGCTCATATGAATCTTATTCTGAGACAGGTCATCCAGGAGACACTGTGATGCATGTCAAGGGGATAGCTATGTGTGTGGTCCTCAGTTCAGAGAATAATAAGGAAGCTCATAGGAAATGTGTAAGAGTGAGAACCAAGATGGGTTTGAGCAGCCAAGTGGTGATTCACTCACTCAACATAAAATTTCCTAGGTGCCCACTAATTATAAACCTCCATATTTTATTTGGATTTTATTGTATTACATTTTTTACTGAAGGGATAAGGGAGTATATAGGACACAAAAAATTACTGCTCTGCTCCTTAGAAAACAATGATTATATGATTTTGTATCCATGTAAGGCTTCAAGAATGGCACACCTTCTTTTGTGTGAAAGTTATAAAAAGATGCTACTCTTTTGCTCATCAGCAAGCAAGCTCTTACTTTAAATTTCTTCTTTATTTCTTGCTCTTTCTTTTCTTTCTCCTTCTGTTCCTTTTTCTCCAGCTCTAATCGCTTCTTTTCCTCCTTTTCTCTTTTCTTCTCTCTTTCCTTGGATGCTTCTCTGTCAATACAAATTGTCACATTGTTTCAGTACCTGTGGGCATTGCTGCATTAGGCCTCGCCATCCAGAGAGGTTTCTACCCACAAGAGAAGATGGTATCAGAAGTACAGATGAAGGTAAAAAGCCAAGGGTGACTGGGTGTAGTTTGTCAAAATTTTGTTGTGTGTTAAGAGATTTAAACCAGTGGGATGCACGTAGTTGAGATTACTTTCAAATGGCCCCACATCCCCTTACAACTCGTGCTAATAAATGGAAGGCAATGTCCATAAAGGTCTTGTTCTTGCTGCGGAAGTAGAATTAATATCTCTCTTTCCTTTATGCATGCATACACACACAAGTGCACACATATAACCCTTGGTTCAGAAACTTTTGATAAGAACTGGTTGGACAAGAACTAAGGAGAGAAATTAAGGTATCTAAGATCAAAATAAGATAAATAAGGGTAAAGACATAATCGGTTCTAATGTTTTCCAATAAAAGAATAGAATTTTTCAAATTCCAATAAATGTATTGGTCCTGGGCTACCTAGAAACTCATTTTGGAGCTGTTGTTGACATTCTCCTGCTTTTGCATCTAGGGGCCTTGTTAAATTATTTCTATGAGGTGAAATACTACCCAGGTGAGGTAGTTATAATACAGGTAAATTCATTCAATTGCCCAAGGACCCACTGAGGGCAAGAAATACGGATTTCTGGCTCTGTTTGTCTTGTGAGCTACAGGTCTCTGGCCTCTGACATAAAATTCTTTCTCACAGACTCATTGATGGACTCATTAGAGAAGGAAAGAATATTTTGTCCTTTGTATTGAAATAAAGGTTATTATTATATGCCAGTCATTTGAGCAAATAAAGATTTTTTTTCCCTCTACTATTATGTGTCTACTCTCCTTCACATAAAATAGCATATTTATCTTAGAAGAAACATATCATGGTAGGAAATATAACTCATACATGTCTTCGTATGTTTCGCCTTCACTCTCTTGCTCCTGTCAAGAAAAAACATTGATGATGATTAATTTTAATGGTTTAAAGAGGTAAGACACACATATTACATTGACAAATAGTGAAAAAGTATAAATGCATTTGTGAGTTTGACTTGTTTAAAATATCTCTTTCCTCTTCAGAAATAGATTGGAAAAATGAACACACAAAGATGTCACTTTCTGTCCAGTTGCATATACAACTTCGATGTGTAGGCAGACTTCAGTTTATGTTCAGCACAGCAACACTATTGTGAGTTGACGTAATGATTAATATGTAATGTCTCAAATATTTTAGATGAAATAATATTACAAATTGAAAAGCATCATTACTCATGAGAATTTTCATTTGGTTGTTCTATACTGACAGGAAGTGAATCACAGTATTGTTAAATACTCTATTTAGAGCAGTATAATACAAGAGGAAAATGAAAGGAAAAAAAAAAAAAGCTGACCTCATCTATATTTCCGGTACCTAAAGGATAAAACAAAAGAGAATACAATTTTAATATATTATAGTTAAGAAGCACTTTAATATAGGACTATTAACTGTGATGTGGCATTATTCAAAACCAGTTCATAATGCAACAGACTTAATGTTTTATAAAACAAATACCAGAATATGTGCTTTAGATGCTTATTGTGACAGTTTTTGATAATTATAACTTAATTATATAATAAGTTCATTGGATTTCAGAAAGTAATGTAAAAACTAAAGAACACTTAAGATACCTGTGGCAGTTAAGGTTGTATGTCAACTTGTCTGGGCCTGGTTTTCGGTGGCTGGGCAGCTGGACGTAGTCATTCCCCATGTTTAGACTAGTAATTAACACCATGGTGAAATCTACTGTGAGCAGCTGAATAGCTGCCTTATGGATGTGGTCTGCTTACAGTGTATAAACAGCAGCTTTGAGAAAGGTCTCTAGCTTCTTGGCACATCTGGACTCTGCATTTGGCCAAGTCATCAGTGGTCTGCCATGTTGTCTGCTGATCTTGGGACTGTTTACCTAGTGGCCTGCCATGCTGCTTGATAATTTTGAGACTATGCCATTTTACTTGTCAACCATAGGTTTGTCAGCCTCAGCAGCCAGCAGCTGTCTGAGTTAAGAGACAGCTAGACAGTTAAGTTAAGCTAGAGGCCTAGCTTCAGTGGACTGGGAACAAGGGACAGAGCTGAAGCCCAAGGTCGAGGGGCCTTTACCCAGTCCCTAGAGCTGGCACTTTGAACTCAGATTTCTAGCCCCCTAAACTGTAAGAGAATAAATCTCTGTTTGTTGAAACCACGCTCTTGTGGTATCTTCTATTAGAGTGGCACTGGAGGACCAAAACAATATCTTTATCTTTTTTTCAAAAGGCATGTATATTTCATTCTGTGGGTTTCTGTGGAACAAAGGAATTATCAGCAAGTCATAGCTATTGGTTCACACTTTCTGACCTACTAGTTCATGCTTTTTCACCTGTTTGGTTTCAATGATTTGCTTCTGATATCAAATAAATCACGTTGATTATTATTTTTTTAAAATCATTTATTGTTGTTGTTGTTGTTATATGCCGTTGAGTTGGACCTGACTCATAGCGACCCCTCCTTGGGTTTTCCAGGCAGTAACACTACAGAAGTAGATTGCAATTTATTAATATTACATTGTTATGTTTTTGGTGAAGGGTTACACAACAGTTTAGTTGATAATTTTTTAGAAGGAATATTTGCCTGCTGAAGAATTTAATGTAACATAAATTAATTATCAGATATTAAGACATCTAGAAAAATTGTGGATCCTGCACATCTGGATCCTGCATTTGGCCAAGTCATCAGTGGTCTGGCATGTTGTCTGCTGATCTTGAGACTGTTTAACTAGCGGCTTTTGGTACAAGAACAAACAAATGGACCAATGGAAAAGAGCAGAGAGCTCAGATGCAGGTACATGCACAAATATGTGTATATACACACACACAAATATATATATATATATATATATACACACACACACACACACACACACACACATATATATCTATATGGAGCTCTGGTGGCATAATGCCTAAGGCATTTGATTGCCTTAGCTAACCAGAAAGTTGGTAGTTCAATCTCACCAGTCACTCCATGGAAGGAAGACTGGGCAATCTACTTCTGTAAAAATTTACCACCTCAGAAACCCAAAGGGAGTCACTATGAGTTGGAGTCAACTCAATGGCAGTGAGTTTGGTTTGTGTGTGTGTGTATATATATATATATATATATATATATATACACATACACATATATATGTTGTTGTTGTTGTTGTTTGCTGTCGAGTCGGCCCCGACTCATAGCGACCCCTCCTTGGGTTTCCGAAGCAGTATCACTACGGAAGTAGGATTGCCCAACCTATATATTTGTGTGTGTGTGTGTGTGCATACACACACATATACACTGCTTGCTCAAAGTGAAGATGACTTGAAGTACTTACTGATGATGACGAAGATTAGACTACAGTCTCCAATATGGATAACATCTCGATATAAAGAAAATGAAAATCCTCATATCTGAACTCATAAGCAGCATCACGATAAATGGAGAAAAGATTGAAGTTGCCAGAATTTCATATTACTTGGTTCCACAATCAACGTCAATGGAAGCAGCAGTCGAGACATCAGATGATGTATTGCACTAGGCAAATCTGCTTCAAAAGACCTCTTTAAAGTGATAAAGAGCAAAGATATCTCTTTGAACACTAAGGTGCACCTAACCCAAGCCATGGTATTTTCATTTGCCTCATATGCATGTGAGAGCTGGACAATGAATAAGGAAGACCAAAGCAGAGTTGATGCTTTTGAGTTGTGGTGTTAACGAAGAATACTGAAAGTACCATGGGCTGCCAAAAGAACTAACACATTGGTCCTCGAAGTAGTGCAGCCAAAATGCTCCTTGGAAGCGAGAATGGCCAGACTTTGTCTCACCTATTTTGGTCACGTTGTCAGAAAGAACCATTCTCTGAAGAAGGATATTATGCTCGGTAAAATGGAGGGTCAAAGAAAAAGGGGAAGGCCCTCAATGAGATGGATTGACATAGTGGCTGCAACGATGGGCTCAGGTATAGCAAGGATTGTAAGGTGGCACAGGACTGGTCAGTGTTTCCTTCTGTTGTACATAAGGTCACTATGAGTCGGAGCTGACTTGACTGCACTTAACAACAATAACAACAACATACATGTGATTGTGCTCATGAGGAACTTACACATAGACCAAGAGGTTTATGTGTTTATGTGGTGGATGATGTTGATTGTTTTTGTAATGTTGAACCATCCTTGCATACCTAATATGAACCCAACTTAGTCATAATTATTTTTTTGATATGTTAGAGTCTATTGTTCAGGATTTTGTTGAAGGTTTTTGCATCTATATTCATGAGGAATATTGGTCTGTAGTTTTCCTTTTTAGTGATGTCTTTGCCTGGTTTTGGTACCAAAGTAATGCTTGCTTCATAAAATAAATTTGGAAGGATTGCATCCTTTCCCATGTTTTGGAATAGTTTGGGTAGGATTGGTGTCACCTCTCTGAATGTTTGGTATAATCTCTAGGGAAACCGTCTGGGCCAGGACTTTTTTTAGTTGGTAATTTTTTGATGACCTGTTCAATATCTTCTTTTGTGATGGGCCTATTCAACTTTCCCACATCAGTCTGTGTTAGTTTAGGTAAGAAGTGTGTTTCTAAAAATCTGTCCATTTCTTCCAGATTTTCAAATTTGTTGGAGTACAGTTCTTCATAGTATCCTGATATTATCATTTTTATTTCAGTTGGTTCTGTTGTGATGTCACCCATTTTGTTTCTTATTCATGTTATTTGTATTCTCTCCCTCTTTTCCTTTGTTAAATTTGCCAGTGGTTTGTCAATTTTATTGATCTTTTCAAAAACCAACTTCTGGTCTTGTTGATTTTTTCTATTGCCCTTCTATTTTCTGTTTCATTGATTTCTGCTCGAATCTTCATTATTTCCTTTCTTCTGATGACTGTAGGCTTTTCTTGCTGTTATTTTTCTAATTGTTGGAGATGTTGCTTTAAAGTGTTCATTTTGACTCTTTCTTCCTTTTTGATGCATGCATTTATTGCTATAAATTGGCCTCTGATTACTGCTTTTGCTGTGTTCCAAAGATTTTGGTATGTTTTCACTCTCATTTGATTCCAGGAATTTCTTAATTTAATTTTATATTTCTTTTATTACCTAGTCTTTCTTAAGGAGGGTGTTGTTCAGTTTCCATATGTTTGCTCTTTTGGCATTGAGCTTCCTATTGTTAATTTCTAGTTTGATAGCAATGTGATCTGAGAAGACGCTTTGCAGTATTTCAATGTTTTTAAACTTATTAAGGTTTGCTTTATGGCCTAACATATGATCTATCATGGAGAATGTTCCATATGCACTAGAAAAGAATGTATAGTGTGTTGTTGTTGACTGAAGTGCTCTGTAGATGGTTACAAGGTCAAGTTGGTGGATAGTATTGTTTAGTTCTAGTATGTCTTTGTTGAGTTTCTTTCCAGTTCTATCTTTCATTGAAAGTGGTGTATTAAAGTCTCCTACGACTGTGGAGTCATCTATTTGTCTTTTCAATTCTGTTAAAGTCTGATTTATGTATTTTGGGGCTCTTTCATTGAATCCATGGATATTTATTATGGTTATATCATTTTGTTCGATTGATCCTTTAATAATTATATAATGTCCTTCTTTGTCTCTCATGGTGGTTTTTGTCTTAGAGTCAATTTTGTCAGAAATTGATATTGCTACTCTTGCTCTTTTCTGGTTGCCGTTTACTTGATAAATCTTTTCCAACCTTTGATTTTTAGTATTTTTGTCTTTGTCTCTAAGGTATGTCTCTTGTGGACAGCATGTTGATGGGTTTTTTTTTCTTATCCAGTCTGCAATTCTCCCTTTCTTGAGGGTGCATTTAATCCATTGACATTCATTGTAATTATTGACAAGTATGAATTGGTTGCTGTCATTTTGTTATGTGTTTTTTTGTGGTGTTCCTGTTTTCTTTGTTCCATATAATTTTCTGTGCTGAGCTCATTTTGTTTATAAATTGTGTTATGATTTCCTTTGTTGCTATTGTTTTAGTATTTGCTAAATATTTGTGCTTGTCTCCTTTTTTTATTGTGATGTGAAAGTTTTTCATTTTTCTTTGCAGTTACTCTGTGATATATAATTTTCTCCCTGAGTTTAGAACAGTCCATTCTATCTTGCAACAACTCTCTTGACTTCCTCACCATTTAGAAGTTCTATAATTAAACTATTTTTCCCTCTTTTTGGTTTGTAGTTGTCCTCATTTGCCAATTGATATCTCTGGTTCCTTGTTTACAGTCTTGTAAGCTTATTTTACTTTGGATACTTCCATAGCTTTGTTGGCTTCTGGGTTATGTCATCTTGTGTATTAATGATTGGTGGTTGTTTGCTATTATTGGTTCTCTGTCTAACGGACTCCCTTTGGTATCTCTTGTAAGGTTGGTCTGGTTTTAAAAACTTCCCTTGATTTCTGCTTATCTGGAAATCTGTTAATTTCACCATCTTATTTGAGAGAAAATTTTGCTGGGTATATAATTCTTGGTTGGAAAATTTTCTCTTTCAGTGTTTTATATATACCATCCTATTGCCTTCTCACTTGCATGATTTCTGCTGAGAAATCAGAGCTTATTCTTATTGGTTGTCCTTTGTAAGTAATTTTTCATTTTGCCTGTGCTGCTTTCAGGATTCATTCTTTGTCTTTGGTTTTGATGAGTTTGATGATGATACATCTTGGTGATTTTCTTTTGGGGTATATCCTGTTTGCAGTTTATTGGACTTCCAAAATGGGTATATTCTTATCTTTAATCATATCAGGGAAGTTCTCTAAGAGGAAGTTGTTTGAACAGATCAACAGGATACTGCATGGTTTAAAATCAGAAAAGATGTAAGTCAGGGTTTTCTCTTTTCACCATACTTATTGAATCTTTATGCTGAGCAAATAATCCAAGAAACTGGATTACATGAAGAAGAAAGCTGCATCAGGATTGGAGGTAGATTCCTTAACAACCTGCGATATACAGATAGCACAACTAGTTTGCTGAAAATGAAGACAACTTGAAGAACTGATGAAGATCAAAGACTAGTCCTTAGTATGGATTACATCTCAATATAAAGAAAACAAAAGTCCTTACAACCGGACCAATAAGCAACCTCACAATAAATGGAGAAAAGCTTGAAGTTGTGAAGGATTTCATTTTGCTTAGATCCACAACACCCATGAAGCAGCAGACAAGAAGTCAGATGACATATTGCATTGGGTAAATCTGCTGCAAAAGACCTCTTTAAAGTGCTAAAGAGCAAAGATGTCACCTTGAAGACTAAGGTGCACCTGACTGAAGCCACAGTGTTCTGGTTACCTAGTGCTGCTCTGACAAGAAAATACCACAAATGGGATGGTCTTAACAAACAGGAGTTTATTCTTACAATTTGGAAGCTTTAAGTCCGAATTCAAAGTGCCAGGTTCTAGGGGCTGCGTGAAAGCCCCTCAACCTTGGGGTCTAGCTCTGCCTCCTTCTCCTGGCCCATTGGAGCTGGAGTCATGGGCTGAGAAGCCCCAAGGTTGACAAGTAAAAGGCACAGTCCCAATGTTACCAATCCACATGGCAGACCATTAACTTTAGTCCATTGTAAGTCCCAAGGTCGGCAGAGCATAGCAGGCTGCTGAGCAATGACATGGCTACATGCAGGGTCCAAGCATGCTAAAAGCTAGAGACCATTCTCAAAACTTCTCCTTATATACAGGAAGCAGATCATATGCCCAAAGGCAGGTACTCAGCTGCTCACAGTGGATTCCACCATGGAGTTGATTACCAGTCTCATCATGGGGAATACTACATCCAGCTGCTCAGCCACTCAACCAGGCCTAGCCAAGTTGACATACAAACATAACCATCACACATAGTATTTTTAATAGTTTCATATGCATGTGAGAGCTGGACAGTGAATAGGGAAAACAAAAGAAAAAATGATGCATTGTAATTGTGGTGTTAGTGAAGACTATTGAAAATACCATGGGCTGCCAGAAGTGTGACCAAATCTGTCCTGGAAGAAGAGCAGCTGGAATCCTCCTTAGAAGCAAGAATGGCCAGACTTTATCTCACATACTTTGGTCATGTTGTCAGAAAAGACCAGTCACTAGAGAAGGATATCATGCTTGGTAAAGTGGAGGGTCATTGAAAAAGGGGAAGCCACTCAATGGGATAGATTGACATAGTGACTGCAATCATGGGCTCAAGCACAGCAAGGGTTATGAGGATAGTGTAGAATCAAGTAATGTTTTGTTCTGTTGTGGATGGGATTGCTATCAGTTAGAACTGACTCAATGACACCAAACAACAGCTAACTCCTCAAAGTTGTATTGTAAAGGGATCAAATAACTAAATACAAATATTTAAGTTCATACTTTCTAGAAACAGGAAGGACTTCTTAAGCAAAATTTAAAAACATAAATTTTAAGACAAAAACTAATTTGTTTATATTAAAACTTATTTCTGTTCAGTGAAAGATAAAACTAAACCAAACTCACTGCCACTGAGTTGTATCTGATTCATAGCAACCCCTCCTTGGGTTTCCAAGGTGGTATTGCTACAGAAGTAGATTGCCCAACCTTCCTTTCGAGGAGTGGCTGGTAGGTTTGAACTGCCAGCCTTCTTGTTAGCAATCAAATGCCATAGGCTCTACACCACCAGATCATTGGCTAAATTAACAGACCAAGGACAGGATGAGAGAAGACATTTTCAAAGTCTGAAATTGACAACGAATTAATATTTAAAATAAGAAACTCCTAAGAAACTCCTGAAGGCTAACATCAAATCCAAGACAAAAGTGGTCAAAGAATATGAACAAGCAATTTACAGAGGAAGAAATACCAAAGATTAATAAAGGAAATGGAGAGGCAGTAAATAATAAATAGAGATATGAAAACTAAAATGAGATATCATTTTGTATGTATTGTTGTTTTGTTGTTATGTGCCATTGAGTCGGACCCGACTCATAGCAACTCCTCCTTGGGTTTCCAAGGCAGTATCACTATGGAAGTAGATTGCCTCATCTTTCTTCCGAGGAGTAGCTTGTGGGTTTGAACCACCAGTCTTCTGGTTAGCAGTCAAGTGCATTAGGCACTAAGCTACCAGAACTCCCTTAGAGTATAAAAAATAGAAAAGGTGAACAAAGCCATATGGTGATAAAAGGTAGATGTGGTAGTTAAGGTTGTATCCACTTGGCTGGGCCCTGGTTTCTAGTAGCTTGGTAGTTGGATGTACTTATTCTCCATGATGAAATTCTAATCACCTTCACGCTTGAATCTGCTGTGAGCAGCTAAGTAGTTGCCTTTGGGGTGTGGGCTCCCTCCAGTATACATGGAGAAGCTTGGGAATGGTCTTGAACTTTTTGACACATTTTGGGCCATGTTGCCTGGTGATCTTGGGATTGTTCCTGGACTTGAACAAGTGGCCTGCCATGTTTCCTGCTGATCTTGGGATTGGGCCATTTTACCTGCCAATTTTGGTTTCATCAGCCTCAGCAGCCAGTAGCTGTGTGAGGCAGAAGAAGCCTCCAGCTCCAGTGGGCCGGAAATAAGAGGCAGAGCTAAAGCCCAAAGTTGAGGGGCCTTCACCCAGCCCCTGGAGCTGGCACTTTGAATTTGGACTTCTAACCTCCTAAACTGTAAAAGAATAAATTCCTGTTTGTTAAAGTCATCCACTTGTGGTATTTCTGTAATGGCATCACTAGAGAACTAAGATGGTAGGCATCTTGAAAGCTACACATATTGTTGGTAGAGTGTAGACAGATACAGCTATTCTAAAAAACACTCTAGTTCTATTCAGCAGTCAAGTGCCTTAGGCACTATGCTACCAGAGTATGTACAAATAAGTATACATTAAATACATTAGAAGTTTACTCTATGGTAGGATAGCAGAGGAATGGGAATGAACGAGTCATGAAGATAAAATAAATAAAATGAAACAAGAGATGATTTTTGTATGGACCAGTGATAATGTCCTATTATCATTATTGGTCCATGAACCTAAGAGAATGATTAATTTAACCTTCTGTAGTTGAAGTAATAAATATATAAAACGTGTTTTTCCCCTTACCATCAGAGTGACCACCACCATCTTGATTTTCTTCACTTCCAATGCTTCTGAAAACAAGAAAGAAGAAAAAGTAAAAATACAACAAGTATTTGCTCATCTATCAATGAAAAATAAAAAGGAGAGGTTCCGGAAAGATGGCAGACTAGGCAGAAAGACTGCACAGACCCTCTTCAACAAAGAAAAGGGAAAACAATTAACACAGACACAGAAGATAATCCTGGACCTCTGAGCCTTGAAGGGAAGGATATA